ATTCCAAACCTATGGGACACGACTAAAGCATATATCAGGGGCCTAGCAATTTCATATAATATACGTAGATATAAGGGGGAAAAAGAAAAACAATCTAAACTACTAGATACTCTTAAGGAGTTAGAAAAAACACTAGAAAAAACACCACATAATAAGACAGCAAATATGGAGAGGATAATGATTAGATATAAATTGAATATGTTAGCACAAGATGAATGGTTACAGGACCTGAAAAAGATGAAACAATTATTTTGAACATGTGAATAAGCCAGGAAGGTGGCTAGCCTTAAGAAAGAAAAAGAAAAAAGAGCAATTCAACAGTTGAAAGACGCTTATGGTATCCTACAACATCAAACTGAAAAGAAAAAACATATTGTTAAAAGTTTTTTTTTTTTTTTGAGAAATTATATAGTAGGGAAGACATACCAGAGGGAAATATCCAACATTACTTAGAAGGAAAAGGGCTACCTGTGATCCCGGAAGAGGATAAAGAAAAGATAAACAGGGAAATAACATTAAGAGAACTGCAGGAGGCTATCCTGAAACAGAAAAACAATAAGACACCAGGACTGGATGGTCTCCCAGGGGAATTGTATAAAACGCTCCAAGAAAAATCAGAAATGCAATTATGAGAAATCTATAATGCGGTACTGACGACAGCAAAATTACCTAGGTCATGGGTGGAGACATACATAAAATTGATCCCAAAAGAAGATTCGGACCATCAATTAATTCAAAATTATAGGCCCATATCCCTTTTAAATGTTGATTATAAAATATTTATGTCCATAATTGCAGAAAGATTGAAAAAAACCCTTAATCAGATCATTCATAGTGACTAAAACGGATTCTTACCAAATAGACAAATTAAAAATAATACCAGAATGGTATTGAATATAATGGAATATTATGAAGCAAACCCAGGAAAACAATTGGCAATGGTCTTCCTCGATGTGCAAAAGGCATTTGACAATGTTAATTGGCAGTTCATATTACAACAATTAAAAAGCATGCAATTTGGCAATAAATTAAATTGATTTCAACAATTTATACGACACAGACAGACAGTGTAATAATGAACAATGACAGAACGGAAACATTCACGATCAACAAGGGGGTAAGGCAGGGATGCCCACTGTCACCCCTTCGCTTTATTCTTACCTTAGAAAACTTATTGGAAAACGTTAGGAAAAATGTAGAAATCAAAGGGGCTTTAACTAAAAAGGAGCATTATAAAGTATAGGCATTTGCCAATGATATAGGGGTTTTTTTGTTTTTTTTTTGGAAGATCCAGAGGATATGGGAGTCAAATTAATAAAGGAAATAGAGGAATTTGGCAAGGTCGCAGGCCTTAAGATTAATAAAAACAAAACAAAATTATTGACTAAAATTTTAAAAGATAAGCAAAAAAAAAGAATTAAAATGAAAATTGGGAATGCAAATTGTAAAAAAGGTAAAATATTTAGTCATTTGGTTAACAGCAAGATGCTCTTCAATCAAAAAAGATAACTATGACAAATTAATAACACAAATCAAAAAAAGAATTGGAAATGTGGGAGAAATTAGAGCTATCACTACTGAGGAAAATTGTGGCAATTAAAATGTCTACCCTACCAAAAATGCTGTATCTTTTTCAAACTGTACCAATAAGATTGGATAAAACCCTTTTTAGAGAATTAGATCGAATAATAAGTAAATTTGTTTGGGATGGAAAAAAAGCTAGGATAAAAATGAAATTGTTACAGGACAAAAGAGAAAGGGGTGGCTTTGGACTCCCTGACTGGGAAATGTATTATCAGGCTGCAGCTTTGGTATGGATTAAAGATTGGATCAACCTGGAAAATAGAAGAGTATTGTCAATAGAGGATCACGACTTGCAGAGAAGGTGGCATAGTTTCCTATGGAATGGGAAATGTAAACAGCATGCATATTTTCAGAGACACATGATTAGAGATTCATTAATTCGGACATGGAACAAGATTAAAAAGAATCCTTATACTAAAATACCGAACTGGCTGTCAACTATGGAAGCACAAATCTACCCAAATGCAATGGATCTGGGGAAAAAGAGGAATTACAAAGACCTATTAGACACACAAGGAAGGTTAAAAATGAGACAAGAATTCCAGCAACAAAATATAAAGATAGATTGGTGGCCATACATGCAAATTCAGGTGAGATATCAGAAGGACAAAGAACAATTTAGTTTCTGCATGGAAAAGCATCAATTAGATAAAATTCTACAAGAAATGGAAAAGAAAATAATTTCAAGAATATATAACTTTCTACTAGATTTTAAAATGGAAGAGGAGGTGATCAAAGAGACGATGGTGGTATGGGCGAAAAATGTTGGCCACAATATAGACCTGGAAAATTGGGAGAGAATGTGGGGATCAAATTACAAACTAATTACATCCACAGCATACAAGGAAAATCGATACAAAATGTTCTACAGATGGCACCTTCCTCCCGCTAGATTAGCAAAAATGTTTAACTCAGACCCAAATTGTTGGAAATATGAAAAAAAGGCACTTATTTTCATACCTGGTGGACATGTCAGGAAGTGAAAAAATATTGGAATACAATTAGACAATGGATAGAAAAAATCATGAATCAGAAAATTGAATTTAATACAGAAACTTTTTTATTAGGTATAATAACACAAAAATGCAATAAAACAGATAGATATATCATGTTACATATATTAACAGCTGCAAGGATTTCGTACGCACAACTCTGGAAGGAAAAAAGGGTTCCAGCAGAAGGCATGGTTATAAAAAAAATAATAGATTGTATAGAGATGGACAGGCTAACGATGAAAATAAAAGACAGAGAAGATTCAATTTATTATAGGGCCTAGGATGCCTGGTATGAGTGGTTTAGAAATAAAATGAAAATAAAATGGAAATTAGGAAAAGAATGAGGGAATATATAAATATGTAAATATACCAGGGAGAAGATTGAGATGTAAGGATAAAATATATTGATTTATAGTAAGAGTAAGATGTAATGGTAAAGGAATAAGTAAATAAATATACTGAAAAATGTGAGGAGATGCAAAAGATGTCTTGATGTTGATAACAATGTATAAAGTTTTATTTTATATTTTTAAAATTTGGAAACTTAATAAAATTTATTTTTTAAAAAATGGGGACTTCTGTCCTCATTGTGAGTTGTGTTGGGGGAGGGGTGCACGAAGGGAGTCTCAGCCAATCTCATTGTACACATGTTGTACTCTGACAATAAAGGTAATAATAGTTGTGGCTTTGGAGAGAGCACCAACTTCAAGATATGTGTAACAGCATGCACACCCATTGGGTTGTCACGTTGACCTCACTGTGATTTGCTGCAGGAAAATAACACATGGGTGAAGCTGTCAGTCAAATACTGCAAACATCAAATATCAATCAGAATAAATCTGGAAGGGATCTTGGAGGTTTTCTCGTCCAGGGTTCCCCAACCCCTAGTCTTACTGGGCCGTGGCCTATTCGAAACCAGGCCATCGGAGATAGGCAAGGGCATGCACACGCAAAGCTCCAGCTGTGTGAGCAGAGGATGCTTGAGCTCGTGCACAAAGCTCCACTCACATAAGCAGAGGGCGCCTGCGCTCGTGTGAGGCTGTATTATTTGTATTTTGTATCAGACATCCTGGGGAAGTACATAATACAGCATTTGTGCACATTGTCATTACTCTGACACATTGTTTATTGCAAAAAGCAGTATGTGAGCACTGTATATGTTTTCTGATCATCAACATGGCTAACAAAGCACCCAGACACAGGTAAATAATATAAACAATAATTTATTACAACTGTACCACAATAAAACTTATAAGCTCTTAAAAGTTTTTGCAGGAGAAAACAAATACAACCCATGCTACAGAAGGTATATTGAAACATTCACATGAATTTATGAATTGGGTAACCAGAGCAAAAGAGACTTCTCCCTAGCATTGTTCCTGCGCTATGGCAGGGTCTGCTTAAAGAGACAATTGAAGAGAGACAAAAGAGCAAAAGAAGTAATTCACCCAAAATGCAAACCAGGAATTTAATCCCCTTGAATAACAAACCTGGTACCTTAGCATAATGAACTAATGTACATAGGAAGGCTTGGGGTTTATATAGTTTCAACAGTCATGCCCCTTCTCCATTCACAATCTATCCAGCTACGCAATCATCTTGATAGTTGCAATATCCTACTATTGTTAATTTTAGTATAACTGTTTCCTCGACCTGACAACTATTTTCCTTTGACCTGCCAACTAATGTCCTAATTTAGAACGTACAAAACAATTTTGTTATTGAAAATACAGAGAATTCTTACATAATATTCCAGTAAAGTGTCTTAGGTCATCTGTAGGTTAAATATGGCATTACTTAAGGCTTTATATTTGTACAGGTATAATCTTTCGTATGTAACCCTACATATCACACATAAATAGCGAAACGTGTAGAAAGACACCATAACAATCCTAACAAAAAAATCCAGAGAGGAGGACTTCGGGTTTTCTTGACTTCCCGTTTAGCCTTCCATCCAGAGATGGAAATAATACAGAGCAATCTGTACGTGCATAAATTCTTAACGTGTAAAAGAAAAAAAATCAAAATTACGACTTGTATAAAATGAACAGCGACTCGGCTTACAGCTTTTAACGCGAGTCGTTGACACAACACAACCTTGTTAGGGCTCTTGTTAGGAGACGGGCAAACGTCCGCCACGAGTAACGCTATCAAGACATCGTCTGAAAACCCATCCCAGCCATTCACGATCACCTGCGTTACTCCAACTGCGTAAAGCTAAATCACGTGCCCAGATTTCGGACTAGCCCCCCCCTTTGGTGACGTCACTCGCGCAGCCCCACCCACCCCCCAGCCCCAGCCCCACCCCAGCAACGGTGCGGTTGCATTGTCACCTCCTCCACGACAGGGGCCGCTGTCGGTCAGGATGCGGAACGCCTTGGCCACCGGATGTTGCGTAGCTGCGCGCGGCCTGGCTTGGCGGTATCGCTGGCTCGGGTTTCGGTCTGGAGGAGGGAGGGAGGGTGGTTGTGTTCGCCGCTGCAGCAGCAAAGAGCGTTGGGGTAGGGAGGACGGCCGGGCGGAGGAGCAGACGCCGAGGAGGCACGATGCCCACCGTGGAGGAGCTCTACCGTAATTATGGCATCCTAGCCGACGCTAAGGACACCGCTCCGGAGGTAGGGCAGGACGCGACTGGGGGTGTTTTTTTTGGTTTTTGCCCCTGGGGCTTAGGGCTCTGGCCTAGCGGGACAGAAACGGGAAGGGAAGCCCTCGGCTCTCCTTTTCGTTACGGAGAGCAGTGGATTTGGAAGCGTCAGCCCGGCCACCGCGGCGCGAAGGAGCCTGTACGTCGCCAAAGGCCGGAGATCCGTCCTTCTCCGTTGTTCGTTTTGTTTACCCCATTCCAGGTTTCATTGCCAGTTTACGAAGGCTTATTATTCCCAAGGGGGAAGCTGGTGGAGCTTAGATTGCTGCTCTCGATTCTCCCGCGCGCTTTGCCGGATGGATAGGATTCAACTTTAAATAAATAAAGGAACAGCAGACGCTGCTAAGATGTGCAGAAACAATGATTGGCGGACGCTAAAACCCTCTTTCCCCCCCTTTTTTTTTCCCGTGCGAAATGTTGTGGGGGCGGGTGTCCCCCCCCCCCCCCCAAACCTTAAGCCAACTCCCCAGAGGTAAAACGAAGCGGTAGGCTTCTGGGATGCTCTTACTTCAGTCTGCCAACTGGAAGGTTTCTGTGAAAATGGACTTAAAATAAGTCTCCCTTTAAAGTTCTGTGGGGTTTTCTTTAGTCTACGGTTTGTTTTGATCTTTTGCTTTAAGGGCTGGGAAGTAGCAATATGCTTTGAGGCAGCATGGATCATTTCATTGAGAATATACACTTTTTCCTAGGAAATGGTCATCTGTGTAAAGTATGCCGCCTCTATATTTCAGTAAATTTCAACATTTAACTCTTTGTGTATTAATTAAGACAAGGTAGAGAACTGAGTGCTTTTTCTGTTGTGGATAATGTAAAATGTCATTTTTTAAAACAAAAATAAAATCAAAGTGCTCATGATTTTCCTTTGAAACATTTTTTTCTTAAAAAACATTGGGATATGATAAGGTGTCACATAAAAAAAAAATCTGCTTCCAGAAATATTCAAGGTTCCTTTTCTGTCTGGCAGGTTCTTATACCATTGTTGTATACTATATTTTCTGAAAATATAGTAACTATATGTTTTGTGTAATCTTCCCTTTTGGAAGAGATGTATTTAAATAAACTCTGTATCATTGGCCTTTCAAGTGAATACAGCATAGTACATTTAAAAAAAACATAGAACCTACTAAGTAGAGAAAAGATGGTTAGGCACACAAGTGCATCACAACCATTGGGATTAATTAAAGCAACAGGCTCCAAGGAGAAAATGAAACTACTTTAAGAATTTGCCAGTGCAGTATTAATTTCTTATCTATGCTAAATCACATTTGGATTACTGTACAGCCCTAGTGTTAAAATACTTTTAGTCCTTTAACTGATAAAGCTTACTATTCAAAAGCCAAAATACATAATTGCAACAGCTATAAAAGATGCTTAGCCTCATGAACTTCCAAAGAAAGGCCATTCTTAACTATAAAAAGGCAGCAGACATTTTCTGGTTGCTTGGTATATACGGAGGATGATAAAAAAACAGTGCTTGTGAAAGATTGCAGTAAATTGCTTCCATATGTATATTCATTATTTCATAGGCTAACACTTTAATATGCTAGCTGGAATGGGAGCTAGCATATTGTACTTTTTGAGTACTCTGTCAAAAAATGTGTAGCAGTATAGCACTACTCAGTCATTACAAAATGTGAGAAACTGTCAAAGTAATATGTCTCTGCTAAGTGTTTATTCAGAAATGATGGGATAATCTATGAATTGTTATAATTTGCTTATGAGAAAATTTTCAGGCAAATGTAATTCTTTTAATTTTTTCATTGTTTACTTAAGAAGCTCTACATTAGAATTCTCTCTTTTCTAGCACAAAGATGCTTATCAAGTTATTTTGGACGGTGTCAAAGGGGGTGCTAAGGAGAAGAGATTAGCAGCACAGTTTATTCCAAAATTCTTCAAACATTTCCCTGAGTTGGCAGATTCTGCTATAAATGCTCAGTTGGATCTTTGTGAAGATGAAGACGTTTCGGTAAGTGCCTTTTTCTTTACAAAAGGGAAAATGCTATTGGAATGTGCATTGATACAATACCTGAAAATTGCATTTACATTTTATGCACCTATTTTGCCCATTCTCTGCAAACAGTCACAAAATCTTTTTAGCTTCTGGTGTAGCTGTCAAGATTGTTAATAGTAGCCTATCCCCTGTGCTATTATTTCTGCTGCATTGTACAACTAAAATATATACAACATTGTAAATCTACTAATAGCATAGTATGCTAGTTTTGATTCATTGAAATTCTAAATATTGTTCTTGCTGTATTTTACATTGTGATGATCCTGATGTTGAATCTTCTGTAATTTGAACATATATTATCCAGTTGTTCCATGTGTATCTTTTTGTTGTTGTTATTTATAGATCCGGCGCCAAGCAATCAAAGAATTACCTCAGTTTGCTATGGGTGATAACCTCCCTAGGGTAGCAGATATACTTACCCAGCTTCTGCAATCAGGTGAGAAAAATTATTGTATTAATTTGAGTAAAAGGCACAGTTAAATATTCATTGCTAAAGCTTTCTTGCTTCAGCTTTCTTACTGTTTCCTTAACGTAAGTTGTACCATTATATTTTTGAATAATTTATCTTTCCTTTATTCTTGTTATTTTTTATATTATTCCTCCGTATTATATTTTCCCATTGAAAATATGGTATGAATAAGATCTTGTGATCTAAAAGATAAGTGCCAATTTTGAATCTTTATTAACACTGCTAACACTACATAATGCGGAAGAAACATTTGGATAGAAGGTACTTTGCAGTTTCAAATTCTTTTTTAGGTATTGCCTATATAACTATGTGGACACTAAAAGTCAAAATCAATTTGATAGCATATAACCATGATGGTGAACCTGTGGCACGCATGCCAGAAGTGGCACGCAGAGCCATTTCTGCTGGCACATGAGAGGTCACCCAGAAAAACCCCACAGTGCATGCATGTGCTCCTCCCACCAGCCAGCTGATTGTTGGGTTATCTTCCACGCATGTGCAGGGCGGAGACACCGCACATGTGCAGGGAGTAGAGCATGTGGGGAGTCGTGTGCACATGTGCAGAGGCACACAGTCTCCGTGCAGAGGGTTGCGCACGCATGCACAGGGATGGGGTCGTGCACTCATTGCATCATGGGTGCAGGCATGAGAGAGAGAGAGAGCATGTACTTTCAACATGTGATGTGGAAAAGGTTATCCATCACTGGCATATAACCAGCTGGAAAATCGTGCTTTAGATACTGCTTTGGATGTGCACCCACAAAAGTTAAAAACTGGCATTGGTATCTGCCTATTATTTAAATAATGATGCCTCCAAGTTCAATTTTATGTTTTAGTGCAAAATGAACTTTTTCCTATTGTTCTTATTGCAGTCATATACTTATATACTTGGTATATATCTGTACGTGCAAGTTTATTGTAAATATTTAGCCAGAATCATTTTTCTCTGAATTTTGTATTTTCACTGTCTTGGTTTCTTTGTAAGGGTTTTGCCTGGAAAAGTTGTATGAAATTCTGCATTTCCTGAATCTCCGATATTTGAAACTATCTAGCTTAAAAGAATTGCTGATCCTTTGTTTTCTTTATTTTTAGATGATTCTGCAGAATTCAACTTGGTTAACAATGCTTTGCTTAGTATATTTAAGATGGATGCTAAAGGTAAAGGATGTGTTTTATACTAAAATGTTTTATCTTTTTGAATATTTTGAAATAAAGAATTGAATATATTTTGTCCTATAAAATCAAATAATCAGAACAAAAGATGTTATGGCAACCATAACAAAATTGCTTGCAAAGAAAAGAGTTCAATGCTTGCACTGTGATAGTCATTTAGAAATATAGTACAGATCAGCTAGAAAGTTATAAAAATCTTAAAGCTATATTTTCTATATTATTTCAACTTATATTATTATAAAATAATGGATTGCATCCAATTGGTATGTCTCAGCAATATTTATTTATTTATTTAAAATATTTGTATGGCTGCCCACTTCAACAAAGGCGACTCAGGTGTTTACAAGAAAGGTCAACAAAATTATTCTATTTCTCCCTTATTCCCCTTTTAGAATCTGCTGAGCAGTTTTAGGATAAAAGCAGTGTGGTCAGGAGAGCAGTTAAAAAAGGGGAAGTTTGCAAGCAGAGAACTTACATAAGCAAGTGCCCTCTGATATTGTTGGATGTAGCTTTAAATGTTTAACAAAAACATCAGTTCCTTTCAGTTATAGACAAAGTAATAAGTATCTTTATCATTATTTTAGGAACACTTGGTGGTTTGTTCAGTCAGATTCTTCAGGGAGAGGATATTGTGCGAGAAAGAGCCATTAAATTTCTCTCTACAAAACTCAAAATACTTCCTGAAGAGGTGCTAACAAAAGAAGTTGAGGAATTAATACTGACAGAATCAAAGAAGGTGGATATATTAATCTTGTTAAATGATTACAAAGACTATAAACATCATGAACTGTTGTACTGCATTTTGAGTAGAAAATAATTAAAGCCCTTGATGGCAAAGGTCCAGGTTATAGGATAAATCACATCTTGCTACAACAAGCCAGTCCTTGTGCTAACAGAAAGGTCCTACCTTAGATCCTGTCAGTCAAGAACTCCGACTATCAGGATCCAGAAGCAGTGCCTTCTCTGCTGCAACACCCACCCTTTGAATATCTTACCCTCTAAGGCAGAGGTGGGGAACTGTGGCCCCTTTAGGACTTGTAGACTACCAACTCCCAGAATTCCTGAGACAGCACCCTCCTATCCTTCCACAAGAGCCTGAAGACTGCCAGTTGGAGACCAGATGGGGGACTGGGGACCAGATGGGGGACTTCCACACAGGAGGTATCTGCTGGCTTGATGGCAGACTCCAAATGTCCCTTTCTTCCCCACCTTCCATTGCTCTCTGCTCTTCACCCATCCACCTTTTTTATTATATTCATGTATTCTCATCATATTCTTTTATACTGTTTCTTTTATTCTATTATTTCTGATAGAGTTTTTTTTCCATTCTCTTTTATTGTTGTAAACTGCCTAGAGTAACCCAACAGCAAGATAGGTGGTAAATAAATTTAACAAATAAATAAATGTAACATACATGATATTTCAAAAATGTTGCATACAATGTAGGTGAATATATTTAAGTACCCATTGTTTCTGATGTGCAAAGTATTTCAATTTCATAATCTCCATTTTGATGAATAACAGTCCAGACCTTGTTCTTATTGTAACAAGAGCATTCAGAGTCAAAACAAGACCATTCTGAGGTCAGAACACTTCAGATAAGATGAAAACAATCTATTACAAGCTCTTAAGGTTTAGAGTTGAAAATTGTTGTCATATTCTAGTTCTTATAGTTTGTATAGCATTAGTTCTCATCTTAAAGGTATTGCAGGTTTCAAATTGAGACATTGCGTCAATATTTTTTTTCTTTTTCTATTTTGCTTAACATCTATTCTGAAAATTCCTTGAATTTGTCTGTTACTTTTGTGAGAGGTTTAAGCCGTCGTTGGATCATATATTCCTGTACCCAATAATTCATGTGAGATTAACAGAGTTCTTTACAATACTAACACATTTTCCTCAATTTGACTCCATGCAATTTTGAGTCTTAGTTGATTCTTTTGATCATTAGCCTTTCATTGGAGGACAAAGTTGTTTTAGTTGATTCTAATAAAAATACTATTACCATAATGTAATACTACTACAATATAACAGTAGATTACCTGCCTAAAGGTAAGAACTTTGCTTGTTCACAGTATTTTTTGCAAATAGCTTTCTCATGTTCTAATGACACTGCTATTATCTGTAACCACTTATTGGGTAAAGAAAAGGAATATGCATATTTTCCCCTTCAAGTGCTGTGTCTTTTATTTCCTGCTTTTTTGCATTTCTTCAGGTGCTTGAGGATGTGACAGGTGAGGAGTTCGTCTTATTTATGAAGATACTATCTGGCTTAAAAAGCCTTCAAACAGTAAGTGGGAGGCAACAACTAGTTGAACTAGTGGCTGAACAGGCTGACCTCGAACAAACCTTCAATCCATCGGATCCTGATTGTGTGGACAGACTCTTGCAGTGCACTCGTCAAGCAGTTCCACTGTTTTCTGTAAGTATTCACGTTAAGGATTGTTGTGACTTTTGTGCCAAGTTTAAAAAAATGTAACTGGCATGGTTGGAGTGAATGCAGATTGTCCTCACTTAACAACCACTCATTCACTGGACCTTCGAAGTTACTTACAACCATTCTTCAAAGTTGTGACTGTCACAGCATCCCAGTGGATCACCATTTGGTGCTTAGCAATTGGCTTGCAATTATAACCATCATAGCCTTCCACAGTCACATGATGGCATTTTTCACTGCCAGATTCCAAAAGGAAAAGGCAGCAGAGGAAGTCACAAATGCCTATCATGTAATGTGCATAACAGGTACATGAGCAGCAAGCATAACTCATACGTTGGTGTGGCCACATCATGTCATGCTTTGCAACCACATATCTTAGAGACAGAAAAAAACAGTTTTTAAGTGAGGACTATCTGTATTCTATGATGCAGGCCACAGCTATGTATACATTTCATTTGAAAATCATTTTTATCTTGATTTTGAACTCTCTTAACTCCCCACCACTAATCCAAAGGAGCTGACAGCAGAAAAAGAATAACAAAAAATCAATCACAGTGCATTAAATAAGGATTTACCACTGAAAGATGTAAAAAGGTACATGGGCCACAAAGTAGACCTTCTCTACTAAGTGAAAAAATACTGAGTGAAAAGTAAAAAATATAATCGGCAAACAAGAATAAAAGATTCAAACTAGATTAAGATTGGAAAAAAAGAATAACTCCTGGGATGTCCATGACAATAATTACCTTCTAGTCTGGTGGCTACTATATTACAGTAATTCTGTAATGTAGTAGCAATCTTCCCAGATGAATAATGCTAAAACGGGAGACTGTGGGTGGTCATTTTTTATTAAAAAATAGTTTCAATTAAATTCCTTATGGTTTTATGACGTGTAGTATTCAACTTCAAAATGTCCTTTTCTCCTTCTAGTTTTTCTACTTTTTCAAAGTTTGAACTTTATTATAGATCTGTTACTCAGTTTTATAGATGAGAATGAATGAAATGACAGCCAACTCCCCTTCAAAATATTAATTTACTTGGAGGTGATTTTTGCCTAGAGGGGTGGTTAAATGCAATAAACAGCCCTGGGTGAAAACGAGTCCTAAATGTTGAAGTTATTCATTCATCCCAAAAAATAAGGCCATGCTTACCTAGTAATAGAGAATTGTAACAACCATATTGATACATTTTCCCCAATGCTAATAAACTTGCTGTTCTGAATTGCCACAGAAAAATGTTCACTCTACAAGATTTGTGACTTACTTCTGTGAGCATGTGCTGCCAAATTTGAGTTCTCTGACCACTCCAGTTGAAGGCCTTGATATCCAATTAGAGGTAAGCTAATCTGAATTTATCTGACATAGCTAGAATTACAGTTATTCAGTGTATATCAAACAAAGAAATGTATCACTGATACTAACAAATGCCTTTTTAAGTTTTATTATCTTCAAAATCTTTCCAATAATTATATAAAATTCCACTTCATTTTACATATTGCAGTGCAAGATAATAAAAAGCAAATTACTTCTTCCTAAAGTTTTCAGTCTAGAATAATATAAGGCAGGGGTCTCCAACCTTAGCAACTTTAAAGCTTATGGACTTCAACTGAGGAGTTCTGGGAGTTGAAGTCCACAAGTCTTAAAGTTGCCACGGTTGGAGACCCTTGATCTGAAGTTTATTGCGTTCAGTAAGCAGGCTTTTTTTTTTACAAATCAGTGTTTTTATCAATTTCACTTATCTCATATATCGTAATCAAGTGAGCATGATTTGTTTTTCAGATCTACTTCTGTTTTAACATTGTCATAGTACAAAGTTATAAATTTTCATTTTACTTCATTTTTTTAAAGATAGAATTTATCTTTTTCAGGTACTAAAATTACTTGCTGAGATGAGTTCCTTTTGTGGGGACATGGAAAAGTTAGAATCAAATCTAAAGAAACTTTTTGATAAATTATTGGTAAGTGTATTCATAATCTCAGAGACATTGTAAATATTCATAATAAAACTTAAATTTCTGATTGTTATATAAACATTTCAGGAATTAAAACAGTTCTTAAGGTGCTAACTGGACAATCAATTTTAAACTGTGTGTGTGTCATAATTATTTTAGTGAACTAGTTTGTGTGTCGTGTGTGTGTGTAATACCGTGTTTCTCATATAATAAGGCCGGGTCTTTTTTTTTTTTTTTTTTTTTTGAGCCCTGAAAAAATGGCTAGGGCGTCTTTTCGGGGGTGACTTAATTCCCCCCCTTGCATCTTTGGATGGGCAGGCGGCGACGGCTTGGATGTTGACCTCGGCGTTGGTGGGGCACTTCGTATCGGGGTCAACACAGGCAGCACCATTTCCAGGTGTGCAACAAAAGTACTTCCTAATGGCAAGCCCCCCCCACCATTCCCCCCATTTTGCATGTTTTAATATAGGCCTTAATTTGGGGGGAGGGGCTTAATTTCATGCCTATAAAACATGCTGGGACTTCCTATTGGGGGAGGCCGTATTGTTGGAGAAACAGGGTATATATAATTGTGTATAAATTTATAAATGTATAATACATTTATATAAAGCATATATAGAAATGCTAAACATTCTGAATTTTAGTTCTCTCTGATAGTGCAGCATCAAAAAAGTAAATATTGGCACTTTGTAGGACTTAACTTTTATATTAAAGGGTAGCAGTCCATGGACTGTGGTGATACATGGTGACCAAAGTATTGGTTCTATTAGTCACTCCTACTACAGTCAGAATTTTAAGTGCCTTTAAAAAATACATATATGTTGTTACGAAAATAACAAGGTGAAGATTAAAGCAATTTTCAGAAATTGGAAAGTAGAAAACTGCATATGAAATATAAAAGAATTGAAAAACATCCACTTAATCAGGCAAGTAGGGAAGACTATTTAAACTATTAGGAAAAATTCTGCCAGTTACTGTACAAGGATGATGGAATAAAATTATTTATTACCACAGCAATCATACTTTTAGATAATTGTTTAAAAGAACATTCAAATGGATTCCAGAGTGATGTTCTTTTGACCAGTGTTATTCTCCCAGTAGAATTACACCCCTCATGCATGCATTTGTGTACCCAAAAATCTGCTTTTTGAAGTTCATTTTGTGCTCTTGGGTGGGGGAATGGAAAGCTCAATTTACGAATGAAAATGTCAGATAATGTTGGAAATAACTCATTGTATATAATTTCTAATAATTTGAAGTACATAAGAACCATTTGCTGAAAAAAAATGCTATATAACTTATATTTCTACTTCCCAGGAATACATGCCACTTCCTCCAGAAGAAGCAGAGAATGGAGAGAATGCAGGCAATGAAGAGCCGAAGCTGCAATTTAGCTATGTGGAATGCTTGTTATATAGCTTTCATCAATTAGGACGAAAACTTACAGATTTCCTAACAGCAAAGTTGAACACAGATAAAGTGAAAGACTTTAAAATCAGGTAATACTATGCAGGGTTTATTAGAATGAAAATAATATGTCCAGGTTAGAAATATGAAGTATTTTTCCGTGCTGCAAACAAATTATTTGTATTCATCAAAGAATGGTCAAAGTATTTGAAAGGTAAAAAGAGAAAAGTTTTCTGTGCTACAATAAGTACAGTATATAGCCCAGGACTACAAATTACAATTTTAGATCTATTTGGTTTAATGGTGTTTTCCAAAGAATGAGTTTTGTGATTTTACCTGTGACAAAATGCTATTGAGTTCTGAGAGAAAGTTCATATGATTGTGGTTAAAATTATTCCAGTAGCCTTTTCTCCACTGTAAGCTTGAGTACTGATTTCATTTATCTCATAATTATCACACATTTTAGGTTTGGGTTTCTAAACAGCACAGCTGCTGCTAAATATTTGGGTTCTAAATAATACAAATGAAATACAATTTCTTATTGTGAAAAAAATACATTTATTCTATTTAGCACCCATTAAATACTTAGCAAACTCAAAGCAATATCCAATAGATTTACTACAAAGTACTGTTTGTATGTTCATGTCCCACAACACTTAAGTCAAAATTGTATTGCAATTTAAGTGTTCTGGAGTAATGCACGAGAACTGTCTTCCTTAACCTAGATCCCAAATCTAATGCTTCTTATATTAATAGTAGGCAAAATGAATCTAGTGGGCATATAGTGGACTTTTTGAAATAAAGTCTTGGCCTTTGTCTCCACATAAAGAAATTGGAGCCAGCAGGTGAAGATACAATGTCAAAGTTGTTAAAAAACATTTTTGTAGGTTTCTCAATGACACTGAATTTTTTCTGGAATGCTGTTATTGCCCCATTACCTTTAGAGTACCATTACTATCTTAGTGACTTTTTATATTCCAAGTTAAATAGTGTGAGTTGTAAATTTAATAACATGGTAATTTATGGGAAAAGAAAAATCTGTGGGTTTGCCTCATCATGGATATAAAAGGCATTTGCACATTCATACTGTTAGTTGTTAGTCAATTGTTTCTTTTGATTTATTCTTGTTTTCAATAAATATTTTGATTTAGCTGAGTCAGAGTCCGAAAATTAGCTGAGTAGACTGTGACTTTTGCCAGGTGGTGAATTAAGAACATATTTGATGTGGAGATTTGTGATTTATTGCCAAGCCATAATCAAAGGAACCTAATGGCTAGTTTCAACTGTTCCTTTCCAGTATTCATCCAGAATTGTATTAGACAAAGACAAAGACTAATAAAAATACTCTATCCAAATTCTCCAGATGATTGCAGCCATTCTTGATTGTCCATCCAATATATAGCAAAACTTTAGAATTCCAGAATCAATATTAATACTTCTAGGGTAAAATAGTAAGTGGCTGCACTGTTATTCATAAAATTCTACTTTTAATCAGCCAATTCTATTGTTGAAAAGCATTGGATTATAATAAAACTTCATTGTTTAAAATGTTGCATGCATTTATACCTTTGTACATATTTCCTAGTACTACAAATTTAGTGTTCAGAAGTTTTTCTGACATGCAATATAGGTTTCTTTTTAGGTGGTCAAGTTTGTTATTCTTTCCTAAGATTCAGAAGCTGTTGGTTTCACCATATAGTCCTGCACAGTTTTATATTAAATGCTTCTCTCTCCTAGATTACAGTATTTTGCCAGAGGACTTCAGGTTTATATCCGACAACTTCGTTTGGCACTCCAAGGCAAAACAGGAGAAGCACTGAAGACAGAAGAGGTAAGTCTTTGAAAACTTTGACCTTAAATGAGTTTAGTTTAAAGGTTCAGTTTTCATGTCAGTGTGCATTGTAAGACCTGACAAATACTTGTGTTACTTTCAAGTTCTTGAGTTCCTTATTGTTTTATCTGGATCAGCAAATGCAATTTGTAAGCTCATAACAATAAAAAAAAATATGTGTACACCTAATAACAGTGACTTAGTTCATAACACTAGTATGTGAATTTTTCTCTGTTTCCAAAAGTCTTCACTTGTTAGAAAATCTTCATCATAATAAGATATATTATAAAGTCTGGCCAAGAACATTGATGCAGATCAGGAGCCTGTCTTTCACAGATAAAAAAAGTCAATTGGGATAATGAGATGGGTGGCATATAAATTAAATAAATGCACAACAGATCTGTGAATTGAACAGAACAGAATTATCCAGGTTAGGTACTCTGGAGAGGTACCTGGAGGGAAGGAGGCAATTTTGTTGATTTTATCATCATAGCATCCATGGAGAACCTTCCAGAGTACAACAGTGTATTGTTAACTTAGTTTTATCATTTCAAGAAATTCAACCAAGTTCAAGAACTACTATAAAGGTTGTAAATAACAAGTTTCTTAGCATAATAACTTTTTTTTAGGCATTAGATAGCCATTGTATATTAGTTGCAGATTATTAACATGGTTTGTCAAGGCTTCTGTGACTACAAAAACTTCCAACTAGAATAAAGTATATTATTCCTATTGAGAAATAACTGGTACCTAGTTAATAACTAATTAAAATAACATAACTAGTGCCAAAAATTGGACTGGGGAAAATGGCAGAGTCTGTTTCGTTGTTTAAATCATATAGGTGTATGATTTAATAAATAATCCTTTTTTTTTTTTTTGCAGAATAAAATTAAAGTGGTTGCACTAAAAATAACAAATAACATCAATGTTTTAATTAAGGTAAGTGTTAAATTGTGGGATAATAAAAATATTGACAAGTCTATTTTGTCATTATTTTCTTCTATTTGAGCAATATGCGAAGCCTGTGTTAAATGTAACATTTGTGTCTTTGAAAACAGCAAAGGAGAAAATGAGGTTGTAAGATTTTTTTGAGAGGGACACATTTTCATCATTCCAAAATATATGAGACTTTCATAAATCAAATGTGCTTTTTTTTTTTTTGAAATGAGACTTTTCTAGAAATGTTTTTCATAGTTCAAGAAATGTGATTTCAGAAAATTCAAAACAGACTTCCCATTTCGCCTCTAGGATCTTTTCCACATTCCTCCTTCATATAAGAGTACAGTTACACTCTCCTGGAAACCTGTACAGAAGTCTGAAGTTGGGTAAGATAACAGTGAATGTTCCAATCTTTTCTTTACAGTCCAGGACGTCTTAATTGTTTTTCATTATGCTTTTGATGAGCAGAGAAAAGAACTTATAAATAGGGTGAAATGAACTAACTTTTGTGCAAAACGATCTAATGCAGGGGTGTCAACTCTTCCCGCAGGCTGGATGCATCGTGCGCTGGCCACACCCACCTCTAGGAAGGAGGGGAGTCACATCACGTGACAACAACATGATGCAAATTTGACACTCCTGGTCTCGTGTTGGTGTAGCATATGGGTGGCAACTTGTAAATGCAATATTGCAACCCAGTGGGAGGGCATCTGGAGGTGTTCTGTGTCTTTGTGATATTGCTGGGTAGGAACAAAAGTGTTCAGACTTTGTAGGAGATTGGGAATTATGGGATACAGAGATCTGTAGGAGGCAAATTGCCTTTTCCCATACTTAAAATTTAAAAAGATCCTACAAATCATGCCTTCAGATTTTGATCCATTTTTCAAGGGCTTCTTTGGGAACAGTTTGTCTCCCAAAGACAATTTATTCTATGCCCAGGTTTATTTTTTTTAATAAGGATAACACCATTAAAATTCAACTTTTACACTATAGAAGAAGCATTAATTACATTAGAACTGCCTTTTATTTTAAACATGCTACCATATTGATTTTACATTAATAATTTTCTTTCCAAAGAAAACTGGTGATTTAGTCACTTTCTCTCAGCCCTAGGAAGGAGGCAATGACAAAGCACTTATGGAAGAACCTTGCCAAGAAAACTTCAGGGACTTGTCTAGGCAGTCACAAAGAATGAAATATGATTAAATAGAAAAAAAAATTGTTTCACTTCTTCTAATTTATATTGGCCCTGACTTTTTTAAGGCAAAAACGAGCTAGTGAAGATACATCTCCAGACTTACCAGCAAAAAAGTCGCAAGCTGGCCCCAAAAGAGATGCTAGGCAGATTTACAATCCACCCAGTGGGAAATACAGTAGTAACCTGGGCAATTTTTCATATGGTGAGTATTACAAGCTAATAATACTATTACAATTCTGTCTTAACAATCAGTCTTTTTTCCTTTGTATCCTTTTCAGGATTATATATGTGTCTTAGCTTTTGAAGGCATTCTAATATTTCATTTTAAATGTTAAAAGTCTAAGACAAGATAATACTACCTGTGTATCTGTATTATGTAAATTTAGGAAATTATTGGTATAGATAGTCCTCAACTTGCAACCAGTTGCGGGGCTTCCGGTTTGAGCTTCTTCGGCGACAGACCGAAACCGCGACTCTGCGTGGTTTCAATCTGTGCTCGCCGCTAGAGCGCCCAAGCCGGCTAGTTTCGGGGCTAAGCCACCCTGTAGAGGTGGTAAAGAAGGGGGAGACTGCCTGCAGGGTTGAGGAGAGCCGCATCTCTCCTCCTCAGCTGGCCATTACTTCCTTTCCCGAAGGCAGTTGTAGCGGTGGTCAGAAATGGCCACCACAAAGAAGAACTCAACCGGAAAAGAATGTGCAGGAGGAAGATAAGAAGAGAAAGTTTTGGTTGACCGGGTCAAACAGCAAAAGCAACAAAAACTATATAGTAAATGTAAAATAGTAATAAGATATGGAATAGAACACAAAAATGAGCATGAAACTGAGTTTGTGTCTTTCTAAAGAAGTGTAACCCGGGACCATGCTATTTTCAGAAAAGATGTTTTACTTGTATTATGTTTTTTTGTGTGTGTGAAAACCCAAATAAAACTTTAATTAAAACTGTTTGCAGTTAAGATAGAACTCTCCAGGGTTACTTATGATCTGGATTTGAAGTTCTGATGGCCACCGCCCCCACTCAGATCGTCACATGACTGCGTTTTGGGACCTTGGCAACCAGCTCACATTTATAACTATTTGCGACATTCCACTATCATGTGGCTGCAGTTTATGTTTTTTGCCAGAAACCTGCTTTTACTTCCAAGTTTCCAGCAAAGATACCCATTGCAGACAATGTATTTGTTTAACAACCAACATGTTCGCTTAACAACCATAGTGATTCCCTTAACCACTGCTACAAAATATGTTGTAAAATAGGACACAGTCAAGTGGTGAATGGTACATATACAATTGAAACAGTAGACTTTTCTTTTGGGACTGAGAATAAACAGCTGGGCGAAAAATATGGACCTTTGTTTTTATATAAGACAGTTACAGCAAGACTACTAAGGTGGAAAGATTTGGTTGTACCCACAGTGGAAAAATGGATAGTAAATATAACAGAAGTTGCCAAGATAGCCAGATTGACTGCTTTAATTGGAAATAAAATATTGACTAAGTTTAATGATGTTTGGAAATCCCTTAATGAATTTTTGCAGAAAATAGAAAAAATAAAGTTATAATATTTTTGATGATTAGACTAAAAATAGATTATAGAGAAAATATAAATGGTATGATTACCACAGAGTAATAGGTTATCTTATCTCGTACAATTGCTATAAAAGAAAATCAGAAGGCACTTATTTATAATCCTTTTTTATTTTTTTCTTTGATTTCTGCAATTTTGTCTTCTTTCTTTTTTCCTCTTTTCTGGTTATCTGGTATCCTTGGTCTGGTTAATTTAAGTAATCAACTGTCAGCATTACACTTCCTATTAAACAACTGCATTTAAAAATACTCAACCCCAAACCCAAATTTATGGGGGGGGGGATTTAAACTATTCAGAAAACGCTTGGTAAATACTACTGTTACTGGTATTTTAATTTTATACAATGGCGTAAGCACAGTTATGATCATTAGTTGATTTTCAGATATGGGAAATTATACTGTTTCAGATTTCAGGATCAGCATTAGTAGTGAGTTTCAAATGGGATAGAAACAGTCTAGTCTGAAGCAGAACAGACTTTTTTAGATTGGAGCTAAACTGTTGAATTCAGTAACCATTAATATTGAGTAGAAGCATCACAGTTTGCTAACTATTACAAACTAAAGTTTCTTCACAACAGATTAAAAGTCAAAAATATATATTAAAAAATGCTCCATCGAAGATAGGTTAATTTTATCACATTTATCTAGGAATGGCTTTACAGGTAGTCCTCAATTTACAACCACAATTAAGGCCAAATTTTCTGTTGCTAAGCAAGACAGTTGTTAATTGAGTCTTGCACCCTTTTACAACCTTTTTTGCCCTAGTTGTTAAATCAATCACTGCAGTTAAGTTAGTAACATGGTTGTTAAGGGAATCTGGCTTCCCCATTGATGTTGTTTGTCAGAAGGCTGCAAAAGGTGAACCTGACCCTGAGACACTCTAACTGTCCTACATGTGAGCTAGTTGCCAAGCATCCAAATTTTGCTCATGTGATTATCTGGATGCTGCAATTCTCATGTGAACAACTATCATAAGTCATTTTTTTTAATGCCATTGTAACTTCAACACTAAACTAATGATTGTAAGTTGAGGACTAGCTATACAGAGCTGTTGTGATTCTTACTAATTTTATTAGACACTGCTGTGTTCCCTTATGCACATTGTCCTCATGTAACAACCATAATTGGGGCCTTGAAATCTGCCACTAAGCAATGCAGTTGTAACACAAACAAAAATCATGTGGCTGTGCCAACTTGTAATTGCAATTCTGGTTACCGTTGTTAAGCAAATCGCACATGTGACCACAATTTTCATCTTCCCACTGACTTCCCCATTAACTTAGTGGAAACTGATAGTGAAGTTGGCAAATGCTCGCTGCGGGGATATCTCAACTTTGAGGAGTACTTGTATGTGGCTACGTAAATGAATATAGCAGTGAGCTGTGCACTTGTTTTGGATTAAATTGGATATTATTTAAGTGGTTCTCTGAGGGGTGGTTCCTAAATATGGTAAATAAATAAATAAAATAAAAAGCAGTAACTGCTATTCTATGTCAAACAGTTTTAATGCACTGGGACATAATTCTCTATTTTCTTTGATTTCAGAGCAGAGAGGTGGTTTCCGTGGTGGACGAGGCAGAGGATGGGGTGGACGTGGTAATCGCAATCGTGGAAGAATTTACTGAAATCATTTCCAAAGCCGTTACTATATGGCTAAAGCATCTTTAAAATTTGAAGGATTGTCTATAGGGGGCTATGTTGTCTAAAAGACTCGCCTTCTGCAAAAGACTGGTTTAAAAGTTCTTACACCTTTGTATGTATGATCTACTTTTCTAATGGACAATAGACTCTCAGTGAAACAACAACTGTATTTTTGGATGTTTAACAGCTGGTATTTTGAGTTTGTGTTTGTTTTTAAAGCGTCTTCAAGATTTGTTCAGGAAAAAGCATGGGTGTTCAAGCTGAAGCTGCTTCCGTACAGATGTTACATTCATCTATAAATGTGGCTTATAATACAAAATGGACTCTGTATAATAATAAAATACTAGATAATGGATGGAAATGTTTTAATTTAAATGAGTAAGAACTTCTCTTCAAACTGAAATCATATTTCCACATCAGAAAGAATTATATTGCAAAAGAGAAGTACTATAAACCGCCAAAGGCATGGTTCATTGACGGAATTTTTATTTTTAAAGTTTGCAACAAGATAACGAGCTGTTATCTTAAACCAATCCAATCATTTCTGGAGAAACATGGTGTTAATTTTAACATCTTGCTCTTCTCCATATATGGTTATAAAACACATGTATTGCAAATTGATTTTTAAAAGTTCTGTCCATGCAGACAAATTGAGAATTTTTCCCAGTTTTATTTTTGGACTGAACATAAGATGCAGATGTCAGAAAGGAGTAAAAACATTGAAATCAATCCAGCTAAAATTGGATTTAAAGAACTGCAAATTTCTTATCTTAAACCCAAACCTTTTTTACCATTTTGGAAGGCATAACAGTCAAATATTTGTACATAGGCATTTCTGACAACTTGTAATGTGTATTAACTAAAATTAGTTTATAAAATGGACAGAAATGCATTTATTGGTAACTACAGATTTCTTTAGGTTCTGATGGCTCATTCATCCTTTTCTGATATAGAGGTATTGAGCAAAATGATTCAAGTTAAGGGTCTTCTCTACATTTGTTGTACTCATGTTATAAAGTGATTTTAACATTTCCAAGTTGGATTAAAAAAAGGATTCTAATTTGGAGGGGTAATGTGTGTCTCCCATTAAGCTATTATACTAAAAACTGACCAGTTCAAACCACAAATGGTGGTTTGAAACATTTTCTATTAATTTTGAAACATTTTCTATTCATTATATTGCTTATTTGACAGTCAGTTTTTAGAAATGTAGCTTTTACGGAAGTTTAACCACTTAATACATATAGTTTTGGGAAGGGGCTCTGTTCAGTAATAGGTTGACAATATAGTTCTGGGAAATAATGTGCAAATTGTCAATTAGAAATAGCTCTCATTTTGTGTTAAAAATGCAGTGAATTATTTTGGAAACACCCTTTAACCACATTTTATTTGTAAATTTTTTCCTTTATTCTTTTGCAATAAATCCATTTTGTAATTTTGTTAGTGATTTGTGGCTGTTTATTTTTTACTGATACAGATAAAAGGTACAGAACAATTATGAAACAGTTGACCTCTGCATTTTCAGAATAGTATAAATGTCAGCAGCATTAAGGTTTCTTATGGATATGTGACCATGTAAAAATACAATTTATTCAGAGGCAAGCATACCAGGGTGTTTCTGCTTTTATTATTGAATTCTTAGGATAAAACATTTCCCAGCTCGGTTCTGAATAAAGCTAGGCAAAATGGCACCTTTAACAGAACATTTAATTCTTGGAATATTCCTGGATTTCCAAATGACAAGCAAAAGCAACTGATTGTTTTCTGCACACAAACTACAGTTGACAAGTTAATACATGCAGGATGGACAAATACAACCTCAATTGAACTTTGTAATTGGCTACTGCTGATGTATAGACATCAGAAACAAATGGATGTGCTGAAAAGTGTTTGTTTAAATCTGATCAAAACCTGGACTGCAATAACCAGGAGGCAGGGAGACAAAGCTATAAAAAGAAAGGAATTTAGAATAGAATAGGGCTGGAAGGGACCTTTAAGGTCTTCTAGTCCAGCCCCCTGCTGAAGCAGGAGAACCTATACCAGTGGTGGCTAACCTTTTTTGGCTCCTGTGCCAAAAATTGTGCACGCACTCGTGTGCCAGCACCTAGAAGGCAATGCGTGCTGGAGGCCCCGCTTCACACATCTCTGCGCGTGTGCGCAGCCCCACACACCATGTCTCTGCATGATCCCTCCAGTGCGTATCATGCATCTGCATGTGTGCACATCTGTGCATGCATGTGTCTCCCACGCACCCCACACATGCATGTGCTGTGGGGCTCTTCTGGACTTCCAGCACACGTGCCATAGGTTCACCATCACAGACCTATGCCATCTCAGACAAGTTCAGTCTCTTCTTAAAAACCTCCAATGATGGAGCACCCATGGTTTCTGAAGGCAATTGTCCTCACTGACAGGAAGTTTCTCCTTAATTCCAGGTTGCTTCTCTCTTTGATTTAGTTTCCAACCATTATTTCCTGTCCTGCCCTCTGGTGCTTTGGAGAAAAATTTGACCCACCCTCTTCTTTGTGGCAGCCCCTCAAATACTGGGATACCGCTATCAGGTCACCCCTAATTCTTCTTTTCTTTAGACTAGCCAGACCCAAAACCTGCAGCCGTTCTTCATATGATTTAGTCTCCAGGAAAGAAACAACACACCTACACACACAAACACAATAATTGAAAAGAGGAATTGGGCAGGCTCCCAGGTTCCAAAACAATCCTCCGGCGCTTTTTGTAAACAGCTGCTGCCCGATCATCGCTCGCCGTCCGACACGAAGCCAACTCCATTGGCTGAGCCAACAGTGACTCTGCGTTTTCAAGCGCCGCAGGGAAGGTGCAGCGCCGGAATAACTTCCCCTTCCCTTAGCCAACAAAAGGGGCGTGGCAGCTCGTTCGGCTGACGGAGCTTCGGATTGGCTGCTGCCTCCGAGCTGCACGTGGAACTGCAGGACGGGCGACGAAAACAAGCAACAGGCCGCGCCTTCTCCCTCGGGGGCAACGCCCTCTTTTGCCACATTCTTCCTCTGGCCCCCGTACTCCTATATAGAGAGCTAGTTTTTTAAAAAAATCGCCTTCCTACTGCCACGATACAAGTTACACAAGGCACTGCACTCCCGCCGCACTTTTTCAACCCCGCGTCAAACAGCGTGTAACCCTACAATCCCCCAAGTTCGCGTCGAACTCTTCCTTAACCCCCCCTCCCAAAAAAAAACACCCTCTCTTTCTTCTTATGATAGAGACAAGACGCGCTTTCTTCTTCAAAATGGCGACTCGATCGCTTCCGGTTCCGGGTAAGGTGGGTAAGGCTAAGGTTGTGGAAGATGGCGGTGTCAGCAGGAGCGTCCGGATGGAGTGGCCTAAAGCTGGCGTGCGCCTGCCTGCGCTCGTTCTTCGGCCTCTTTTTGCTGCTGGGCTTGGCGCCTCGTCCAGGCGCCGCCACTACGCACTGGGTAGTCACCGAAGACGGCAAGATCCAACAGCAGGTGAGAGGGAGGGGTTTTCAGGTCGACGCGAAGAAGGTCCCTTTTGGAACACATTTCTCCCGTCCTCCCGTTCTTCTCGAGCGGATGGGAAGAGCCGACGGCTGCGCGGTCTTCTAGGCTGGGAATAGCCTAATCGGGGCAGCTTCCCCTCCAGAGTTGGTAGGGAGGAAAGGGCTTCGCCCCTTCAGAAGGACGGCTGAACCTGAGGAGAGAGTTCCGAGCCGAAACTTTTCTCCCTTTGCTGTTCGAAATACTCTAGAGCAGGGGTCTCCAGCCTTGGCAACTTTAAGCCTGGCGGACTTCAACTCCCAGAATTCCCCAGCCAGCTTTGCTCGCCGTCCGACACGAAGCTTTGCTGTCTTGGGAATTCTGGGAATTGAAGTCCGCCAGGCTTAAAGTGGCCAATATTGGATGCCCCTGCCCTGGAGGGGATGTTTTCTCCTCTTTTTCTCTCTCTCTCGAAAGAAACAAGGCTTGCCTGGCTTTTCGGTGAACAGTTTGGCTCGATTGACCAAGACGGGCGTCTGGCGTTTCCCCACACGGGCCGGTGTGAATTCACAAGGGAGGAAGGATGAAATCAATGCGCATCTCCTCTTCTGCGTGTGGTCGTCCGAGAATAGGCTTGCCTCTAGGCGGATTGGCCATTGAGATACGGGTGACTCTCATTGGTATAGAGGAAGCGAAAACACATCGTTTTATAAGTGTTTTCGTGGGTTCAACTGTTTAGCTGCTTTTTTTTTTTTGTAATTGCAAAAATCTAGAATATTAAGTTTTCCATATTAGAAAACTCTGGACCCTTAATGCTGCTTTTAGGTGTGGCGGTGACTATTTCTGATAATTTGATTTGTTCCAGTTGTTTTCCGTTCCATCTTGAGGTAATGCTTTCAAAAGGAAGAAACGGCTAAAGCTAAGTATTTTTCCTTGGTAACACTCATATGTACTTGGTACCCACAGCTGCCATTTTACTGCTCACTGAAGTCACCTGGGAACATCTTTGTAGAGTTTTTCCAGTTTTTTTTTTCTGAATTAGACTGGCTAATCGCAACTGCAAACCTTTGAGAAATTGCAAGATAACATTGAAAGAAAGGAAAAAAACCATCTAGCAATACTGGGTTGCAGTTGCATCTCTGGGAGTTTTATGGCTTGCATATTATTATGCATTTTATTGTTTTATTAGTTTGCTGTACAGTTTTAATATTTGAAATCCTTAACTGAAACACTATTTTACATGAAAAGACAACTCTGATAAGGAAGGGTAAATTAAACATTACTATATTCCCAGCTGTTCTCAATTTTAATGACAAATTATCCAGGAGAAAAGCTACACTTTTCACAGAAAGTTTATATCTCTTGTTTTCCTGCCTATATATGGCAATGAGAAGCTGTTGATGGAGGATAAAGTTTCAAATGTTGCTTTCTGTTCTTACTGCAATAAACCAAATGCCTATGTAATCTAATACAAGCATATCTCTTTGCAAAAGCCATTCTAACTGTTTGTTTAAATTGTTCTTTAAGATCAAGAATACTTTCTATTAGGTTGAGCATTGTATTTTCTCAGATCTCCTTTGACTGTTTCGTTCAAATCATCAGCTTTACCTTTGCCCTTTTCATTCCATTTGCTGTTTAGTGCCAGTGAAATTCCATAAAAGATGGAGATTCTTAGCAGAGTTTCAAGAGTACAAAGTCCCATTTTGCCATGCGGGGACAGAACAATACTCTTTGATGTTTACTGTTATGAATGCACCAAACCAGATTGCTTTGTCATTTTTAAAATGAATTCAATCAATAATAGTGCAGATAATAACCATCAAATGGAATTTGGTCCTTAGCAAGGAATGATCTATAACATATATTCTTTATTCCCATGTATCCTTGCATCTTTAGGGCTTTTTAAAAGAAATTGAGAAATATATTTAGAATAGTCTTGTAATAGGTCAATCCTATGACCAATAGCTATGAAAAGTTGTGAAATTACTTAATATAGGAAGCTTTGAATAGAATTCTATATTTTCTTTTTCTTCCATGTTTCTATTCTTACTCTCCACCATCTGGTGGTGGTTGTTTTTTTTGTTGTTGGTTTTTTTGCCTCAGGTAACTCACACCTTAAGAAAAAATAACATTTAAAAAAATGTTGCCTTAATTAATCAGTTTGTACTGGAGAGAATACAAGGGACACAGTATTTTAGTCCAGACCACTGAATATTGCTTTAGACTCTTCTTTTTACAGTGAAACACACTAATCATTATGGAAAAATCTGCTTCTTCTGAAATTTTTAAAATTGCACTTCATTAAGCAATTGCTAAATGATATATAAATGCTGATACACATGGATAACTCTATTTCATTGATGCAGCTAACTAGATAGATAATATAAATTTAATTTCTGGTCACCTTTCCTACTTGCTTATCAGTAACTCCAATCATTGTACTTATGTTTGCAAATTTATTACCTTCCAGTGAAAAGATTTTTTGCTGACATTTTAAAGCACATAAGATAAAATTATTCAAATATTTTTTTAGAAAATGCTAATATGCAACAAATTTTATTCATTTTAACTTGAAAAATAATTAATTCAACCTGCAATCCTTAAAAAAAGAGACAAGGAGACTTCACTAGAATTGAGGTAAAACTGGGGAGGATCCAATTTGGAAACCTTTAGATGAAGATGGAATATTTAAAAAGTGGTCAACCTGGATCTAGGCCAAAGATAATAAAAAGGGCCCAAAGTGTATATCCACAGTCCCATAGAACATTGGAATGACTTTTCCTGGCCAGTCTGGACTGAGACTACAATGCTATATAGCAGTTTTGAATTGTAGCTCTTGAGAAATTTCAGTTCTTTAAGAACCCTGGTAAGGAAAAACATAAGCATCAATCTCCTCCACAAAAAGTATAGTGTTGGCAGACTTGGTTGGCTTCAGGGTTTTAAGGCCAGCCCAGAGGGATGGAGCTTTATTTTGTACTTGACCAGGAAGTATTAGGAGCAGAGTCTTGCTGGAGTTGAGGAAAAAGTATCTGAAACCTTCCTTCAGAGTTCATCTGGCTGTTAGTCTACTTAAGCTTTCCCAAGAAGCACTGCTGTCCCAATTTATGCAAATTTCAAAGGAACATGTGTTGGTGAAATAAGGTTGGCTTCCCTCAGGAGATGTTTGCAAGCCACATTTGCTGATCAGATTGTATGCTGTCCTCAAAAGCAACAGTACGAGTCCTGTTTCCTGCATAGGGTGTTTTTGTTTTTTGTTTTTTAAGAATTACTTTTGATTTAGGGAGAACTAAGATTTCATGAATGTTTCCCCAAAACTCTGTCTTGACAAAGATTAAAATATATTTCAACCTACTTTTTTTTTAAAAAAAGTTCTCTTCTGAAATCTTTAACCTACAACAGAAGCAGCTACAAGACACACACTCACACCACATTTATTTCTCCAGACAATAGACAGGAAATAGCTGTGAGAAAGAAGATTTTCTCTTCAGTTTGCAAGACATTTATCCCACTTACCTTCTACCTTAAGTTTTATCTTTCTAAACGTATCTAGGTAGTCTCTAGGTTTCTCTGAAAATAATGGGAGATGATATGAGGTATGGGAAATGCATTCCTACTTACTTGTCTATGAATATGGGATTGGTCAAATACGCCAGGTGAGGAGATGCCAGTTTTCTGGTCTTGGAAGGCCCTAATTAGGCAATTCAAAAAATACGACTGGATGCTACATATTTTTCTAAGATTAGTTTTATCCTGCATTTACTTTATATGAATAACTCAAGCAACAACATATATAGTGGTGCTTCCTCCTGTTATATTCCCATAAGAACAAACTTGTGAGGTTGATGTTGGTCTGAGAGAAAGTGACTGGCCCAAGGTTTACCCAGTCTTAGGCTTCCATGCCTAAGGTGGAAAAAGAACTCACCGTTTCCTGGTTTCAAGAACATAATAGCATGCTGAAAGCAGGATGATACTGTCAGCAAAGAAAAAAAATGTTATCTAAATTTAACTATAGTTTGAGTGACATGTTGGGAAAGCAACACTTGACTGGATATAATATATGTGTCAGGATTCTGGCAGTTACTCTAATTAAATCATGTGACAATATGTTTTAGAATATTGATAAAGATTACCCTTAAAATGTGTCCATAGAGATATGCTAGGCATTCAGCAATTTATAGTTTTATTTAAGATTGGAACTTTTCCCAAAACCTGTTAAAAATTTCTTTAAACATAAAATTAGCAGGATGATGGGCTCTTCAAAAAGACCCAAATTATCTCTTAGTATTTAGATTTATATTTGCGTCTTCTGATGGCCTTTTCCAGTATCAGGATGGGAGAAATTACCTGTTAATAATTCAAATTTATACTGATATCCAGTGAAGGTTTTAACATGTACACAACATGGGACTACTTTACAGTAGTTATCACACTGTAATAATCCTAATCCTGTAAATTGTTTTATTTAGGGAAGAAAGGGTTTTGTGCTCCATTTGGCATGATGCAGTTCAATTTTTTATTTGCTCTATTTTATTACTTTAAGTCATATAACCTGAATTGCACTTGGCTGTGTTAGGTATTTTGAAAATATGTATTAAATTATACACACCCTTAGATTTTTGTTCCAATTAAGCATGGAACAGATCATAAGCTTAATATTACATAGAAATAGCTACAGAACTAGCAATGGACTTCAATTACAGTAGTAAGAAAATGAGCAACCTTTAAAGCTGTGCAACTACTTGTTTCTTCATCATAATACATAAAAATTGTCTATAAGCTTCATTCAAAGTTTAATTGAAATGATTGAAGATCCAACAAGAATTTTTACCAGAACATGTTAAGATTTAGGCCTTTTGACTATAACATGAATAAAAGTCTTAGTTATACCTGTGTTTTAACTCTGGTAAGTTTTTAAATGGTTGTATTATTTTATATTGCTATATTTATATTGCTATATTTTATATTGTTTTATTGTACACTGTCAATAGAAATGTGATATGGGCAACTATAAA